ATATATGTGTGTGTGTGTGTGTGTGTGTGTGTGTGTCGTGTATATATATATATATATATATATATATATATATTGTTTGTGGGATGAATTAATGACATTGCTATATATATATATATAAGAACATCCACATCATGCATCACAGATGTATGGATATTTAGATGCATAAAAAGAATATATCGAATTCGCGAGCGTAATAGTACGTATATTTATGTTGACATTTTTTCGACACCGAATTGTTCTAGACAACACAGTCTAATGATGAATTAACCAGCACAGGTGATAACAAGTGATTTGCTGCCTTGTATATCCCAAACTCTAACCATAGTATCTGAGTGTACTTATCGCATGAACATCACATGTACGCAGACAGCTGTAAGCACTGGGTACATCTGTACGTTATCATACTTACCACGAAGCGCAGTCTTCAACGGCAAGTGCTGTAAAGCGTCCCTACACAAGATCAGATCGTATCCCTGTGGTATAGCTTCCGTTTCCAAATCCTTTAATTCGAACGTCCAGCTGATAAAGTGTGCAATTGTGGGTGTCAATAGTCCGCCACGAGACGAGACGCACAATTCGGCGCGAACCCTGTGAACGCACTCAAACTAATAAAATATGGCGACGGGTATACACGGCACCCATGAGGATATGCGGGCTCCACCTGTGCATACACATCGATATACACACCCAAATTTATGCACACGTTGGTCTTATATCACATACGCCGCCTCGTCCCAGAATTCCTCTGTATTCATTTTGATCACAGACCCCACCACATCCAAACCCAAATACTGTAGTTCGGGTTTGCCTTCAGAAAGACGTTTCGTCTGCTGTTCTTTCAGGAACTTGCTGGTCCACCGAACTCTCCCACACGGCTGTGCATAACAAGTGAGTATGCGTGAGTGAACTTGCTGGTCCACCGAACTCTCCCACACGGCTGTGCATAACAAGTGAGTATGCGTGAGTGAACTTGCTGGTCCACCGAACTCTCCCACACGGCTGTGCATAACAAGTGAGTATGCGTGAGTGAACTGCGCGCTCATTCCCGCAGTCTGCTACTAAAAGGTCTCGTGAAGTGGGTGACCCACAGAATGGAATCTGATCGCGACTTGCATATATAGTCATAAAATATATGTATAACAATGCAAACTATTTATACATTCTTGCCTATTATGTTAGAATAATGTATGTGCGGAAACAATGACATGCCTGCCATGCGGGCTGCAGCTTTATTTACAGAAGCAGTTGACCTATGTACATATACATACTATCAACTTCACTTCGCATAAGTTCACCTATCCTCCACGGGAACGACAGAACAGACCATCTATAGCTGGCGCACTACCAAGAGTCAATAAGTGTTGACTCACACATGCTCTCGACAGAGGATTTAGGAAATGAAGATTTGGCGGATAACAAATGTAATGGTTTACACAATCAATGTTGAATATCTCATCTAGCCGTCGCCGGTGTCGAAAAAAACGCATACGAGCATATGCAGCTGCGTGTATTATCGGGACATTAAAAGTGACAGTGGAAGACAATACATATTCCCCTGGATACCCCAGAAGAATACTACTTGAGATAAAACTACATGCTCAATGAATACTATCCACGCTCACTTTGGTGTGGCACATACCGCATCCAACCACTTCAGCACGTTGTATTTGTTGATCACATCCTCCATTATTTTTGGCAGATTCCTGATCATCGCAGGATTAGATCCATCGCCACTCCCACCACCACCTGTACCCCCTATTCCTCTATTTCCTTCCCATACGTTATCCGTGTATATCCTTTGGAACTCCATTTGGTTTGGCCTACCAGGAATAACTGTGTCATCTTCAGTTTTGACTATACTCTGCACGAAGCGGCACAAAAGTATACAGTATCAAATGAACGAAATGTGTGACTGATATACAATCACTCAGGGAAATGATTCTACAAACACCGGAGGAGAAATCGGTAGTCGGAACAAGCACTATAACAACTGGACAATGATCACATTTCCATCAGAAACAGATTCCGAATTCAGCGGATGTGTATTCAATCATGTTCTTCCACTATATTGAAGAGCATGAATATGGCTGGAACATGAGTTGCGTGAGAACTTGCCTAGATACAAATTGACAAACATAACCATCAAGAGCAGACCACAACAACCACACATACAGATACACACACACGAATATGTATACTCATATATATATATATATATATATATATGTATGTATATATATATATATATATATATATATATATATATATTTATATATATATATATATATATATATATATACACATATATAT